GTTTTTAGAAAATATGCCTCCGACAATGAATAGGGTGGAAAGGAATCATTTGGTGGCCCCCTTGTGCTTCTGATTTGAATACTATAGTCTTTTTCTTTGGGGTTAATTGAAAGAACAAGCAATTTTTCTGAAAATCCCACCGAAATTCTACCTGTACCAATTGAGTTTGTGACAATGAAGATTGGAAATCTGAAAAATTAACAAGTTTGAATCAATAGAAAATCTGCTTAATGTAAACCACTGAAATTGAACCTACACAATCTATTCCTAGCTTTTTTTAAATAGTTGAGGAAAATACATCTTCTTTTGAGTGGTGTTACAGGAAATGGAGCTGTTTGCAATTGGGGCGTTGTTCTCAAGTGATTTATTTTGGGTCTCGAAAACGGAAAAGGATTATTTCCCGAAACGACAACCGTTATGACAGAAATAATGTTAGCCCTATTTTTTTCGGCAACAAAAAATGTGCAAATCGCTCCCTAATTATCCCCCAAATTGAAAATTATTGTTACTCTAGAGATTTAACGGGTTGAAATCTTAGGAATCACATGTTAAAAGGCAAGGCCTCGTTAGTCCTTAGCTTGCACAAGTTTCGACTTCTGAGGTTTGTCGTTCGTAGAGTTGCGACAGCTAGTTAACGGAAAAACAGATTTTAAACACAGAGTTTTTTTAAACAGATTCATGATAATAATTACGGATCTTCACAATAAAGACTTAATTTCCAATGAAGATTTGTAATTATTATCATTAATAATGTAACTGATTTCCACCAAGTAACGGTTCTATGCTCGGGTTGGTCTATCAAAATATCCATCTTGAAATGGAAGAAGCATTTTTGTAATTTTGCAAAAAAGTGTCTTGTCTTCATAATAACTCAAAAACTTATAAGTGATACTCAAACTATAGATGGTGGGTTATTTATTCACCAATGATGAAATTCTCAAAATTAGTCAATCTATCCATTTCCGGACTTATTTTGAATGAAATATTTTTCACCTTCGAGAAGGGATGACGTACACAACAGGGGTAAATGCAGGGTACAGGATCAACTTTGAAATAGAGGGTAAATAGAACCTGAATCCTAAGTTTTATGCAACTCGGTGATGCAAATTTATGTTCTTCCACAAAGATTCGACTAATTGTACATTTATACTTTTTAACTAATAAATAAAAAGCATTATCATTATTTCGAAAATCAATTCTGAAAATGATTCACTGTAAAAACACTGAAAAGGAACCCGTGAAATGGGTAGGAGGATAAAGATCAAGAAGAAGCACCGTGGAAAATCAAGTTTGGGACGAATTCTGCTGAAAATTATGAAATTTATTAATTAATACCCGTTATTTTCAACTCGTTTAAGTAAAGGGTAAACAAACATGGGAATTGAAAAGTAAATGAAATAACAGTGTTTTACTGTAAATTGTTTATGAATTGGCACCGTGATTCCACGATAACGAAACTCGTATTCTCCAACATAGCTTTTAAACGAATACACAATCATTCAATATTATTGCCGACTCCACAGATTGCCTACATAAAAGTATTTCCGATGCATTTCGAACGTTTAAAGTGCCCATTCAAAGTTAGTTTACAAATTGTCAACATATGTATGAGGTCGGAGTTGGAAGCATTCGAGGAAATGAAATATCAAGAATATCAACAAATTGGAATGATATTTCTTTGGGTTTATGGGGTTCTTGTTGGAGATGAGGAAGTTGGGATGAAAAGGAAAATGAAATAGTCGATGGCAAAGAAAGACTGAAATATTTGGCTCAAGACGAATTTTGCTTGGGAATTGTTAAATGTCAAAAATATGTGTTGAAGGAATTCGTGAAGAAGGTTCAAGATTATGATTCTTGAAAGATTAATTACAGTTAGTATTTTTTTTGTATGCAAAAATGGGACAATTGAAACATGTACCACACTTTTATATACAATGAAGGGAGATTCAGACACCTGAAGTGCGGAAGTCAATGGCTTGCCATATCAATTGAGCAAATTAAGATGGAGTTTCCTTACTTAAGGGTATAGTAGAAGATCCGAACCTAAATCGACCTTCACCGAGCTGATAATAGAATGAAATATATCTTATAATGAATTTAGTATATTAGAAAATATGTTGAAAATGGGTTCGCTAAAAAAATCCTGGACAGACTATTTTTAATTATTTTTTGAAAAATG